CTTCGTGGTGCGACAGGGAAGAGTTATCTACAAGGAGAAGGAATGGAGGTGGAGGAGAAGGAGGAGGAGGCGGATTAGAAGGGGAGCCCACCCCGGGCGCCGCCGAGGCCTGGGGGATCCCAACAAAGCGCGGGGCCTTTGGCAGCCGCGGGAGGGGGCTGTCTCCCGGCGAACCGCGAGGAGGCCCTGCATCTCTCCGTGGAGCTGGACCGCGCGCAGGAGGCGGGCGCCTCCGCGGGCTCATCGCTGATGGGCTTGTTTTCCACCACCACCACGATAAGTTAGAGGGGGGAAGGAGGAGGAGGAGGAGGAGGAGGAGGAGGAGGAGGAGGAGGAAAAGGAGGAGGAGGAGGAGGAGGACACCCTCCCCCTCCGATGGTGGCGCTGGACAACAATCCCACCACTCGCGCCGCTCCCTCGCCCTTCTCCTGTGCCCCTCGCCTCCTCGGGCCGTCCGCATGATTTCCCAGAATTTCTACACGCCGGTCGTGGAAAGTAGGTGCTTCTGGATCCCCAGCTCCTACTTTTGCTGCCTCAAGCATCGATCCGCTTGTGTGCTGTGTTCCGTCACTCTCTGGGCAGGCTTGGGCCCAATCCGCTTGATCCGCCTTCCTGCTTCCTGTTTTCACCTGCTTCTTCCGACCGACGTGTACACCTTAGGCGATGCTTAAGAAAGCTTAAATTTTCGGCCAGAGTCTCGATTATTCTTAATGTTTCAATGTAAATCCTAAGATCAGAACGGATTTTTTGGGTTTTTATTCAAGTTCTGAGACTCTGAATTTCTTAACCCATGATTTCTTACGCATTTCGCAGGGTGTACATCTCTCCGTCCCGCCGCTGCATCCACGCTTGCTCTCCCGTCTCCGTGCCTGCTCGTGCCCCCTCCCCTCTCCTTCCCCGTGCCTCCCGCCTCCTTGCGCCGTCCCCATGCTCTCCGCGGCAGTATATCCCTGCTTCTCGCCGTTGCCTCCGCGCCTGGTCTCCCTCCTCGCAGACCTTCGAACTGGTTGCCGCCTCGCCCGTAGCTGTTCTCATGCTGACCTTGCGGTTCCTTGTGGCTCTCACTACTCTTCCTCGCGATGCCTTGTGGGACTCTTCGCTCGTCTTCCAAAACCTTCGGATGTTGAGTTCGCGATTCCTTGTGGCTCTCACCACTCTTCCAAACCCTCCCCGTCTCCAGACCTCCTGACATCTCGAACACAATACGCCGGAGTTTTTCTTCCGCAATTTTCGCCAATCGTTTCTGGGCTCCAGACCGTCCAAACACGATTCAGGATGAGCAGTCAGCCCCGGGGAAGAGGTCGAGAGGTCCAGTGGCCCACGTTGCGAAAATACGTTGAGTCGTCGGAGATCTGATGTCGCTCGTGTTTCAATGGTACGCTCCCCGTAGACAAGTGGGGATACTTGTAGGTAACTTAAGGGCTTAGAGGGCGGGTCTTTGGACGGCAGGGTCTGCTGCAGTGTGGCAAAGCATCGTGGGTGAGCCATCGTGAGGTTACTCTGCCCCCCTTCTCCTCTTCCTCGCCCTCCTCCTCCTCCTCCTCCTCCTCCTCCTCCTCTTATTCCTCCTCCTCCACCTCCTCTGACGCCCACCTTCCAGCTGGCAGAGCGCGCGCCACTATCCACTCCTCACTCCGTGAGGTGATGGGCACGCGTCCCTCCGTTCCTCTCCACTCCTCACCCCGCCATTGTCCCTTTCCCAAACGCGCTTCCCTTCCGTCAAGGGAGGAAAAACCACCCGGACCCGACAATCGGCGTTTACTAAAAGGCCCTGGGCATTTCCCAAACAACCCTGCCCTGTTTGATAATTTCTTTGGGTGGGTTTGCTAAACGGCTTCACGTGTGACACTTGTCGGGGTGATTACTAGTGGGGTGGATGTTCTGCCCTCTATCCCTCTTCCCCCCGCCCCCTCCGCCTTCCCCTCTGCTCTACTGCCGCCTGCCCCTCCCCGCGGGACAGCGACCAAACCTTTTTTGCCGCAGAGGGCCTGCCTCGAGAACGATCCGCCCCCCCCTCAACGGGTCCCTGTCTGTGCACCCGCCGCCCTCCCCCATCCCTGGCCCATCTCCGACAAGGCCTGGTGAACGGCAGCAACGCGTCTCGCAGCGCGTACCACAGGATGGCTCCTGTGCTCAGCTCTCCACGCGAGCCTCCTCCTCTTCCTCCTCCTTCTCCTCCTCCTTTTTTTACGTTCAACAAACCTTAGGAAAGAACCCGTGGCCTTCTTGAAGGTAGCTCAGTTAAGACGTACGCGACTCGGCTCAAAAAAAGGACCTGGCGGGCGCCGCGGGCAACGTGGGAAAACGAGGCCAGGAAAATGATTGTCAATCGAGTAGGCGCCCGCCAGGTCCGAGAAGGCAGTACTGACCTTAGTAAGATAATTCCAAGATGAACCTTAGTGTAAGCCTGTGTATAAGTCCCTTAGGTTCTATTGGTATGGCGGCACAACAGCATGTGAGTATGCATAAAAGAAGTGGCGTCGAGAAACTGCCAAAGTTG